GTGCAATTTTAATTAATGCAACTTCGGCGTACCACTGACAAACAAGCAGGATATCCACTAGGATCAGGTGCGGGTGCAGGAGCAGGAAGAGGGCGCATCCGGAGAGGGTTTATTTTTGTTTTTAGCCACTATCATGCCATCCCAGTAACGGCAATTGAGTTCCCTGTCAATTTGATGAACTTTCCAATGCAATTTCCAGTTGCCAGTCGACAGTTCGCGGCGCGGTTTTCCTCCTGTTTCTACCATAATATTTACGTTTAATCAAATGGAAAATCCATTGCGATAACTGGAAACTGTAATAGCAATCCGGTCAGAGCGGCATTCAGTGATTGCGGGCCGGACGGAATCCAGTAAACATAATCGCACTATTTTTTTTTGGATTCCCATTCACTGGGAATCTATTTATTTTGTGGTTTCGAGTTCTGTGGTTTACAGAAACATACGAGTGTACACCGACACACGGCCGTGGACGGGCTTATGTCGTACATCATTTTAATTAAACGCGGTAAAAAAAGGCATCAGCACGGGTATATCACAGATATAAATTCAATATGTCCGCCATGCCGCAATTTGTTTAACATTCCGTGCATACGCGGACTGCATACGCAATTAAACCGATTGAGCAGTGGAGAACCGGCGGAGCACAGGGAGGGGGGAAACAGGGAGAAGTGGTATTGGGGAGACCGACGACTAAAATGTGGATTAATTTTAATCTAACAGATAGATCATTGCCACCAAATTCGTTTGATATGTTTACTGATATTTAATTGGTTTTGCGCCACAAATCATCAGAATTCATAAATAATAAAGAGTCATAAATGATTTAAAAGTGCATGGCACATTTCATGGCCAATTCGGCTCTTTGGCTCTGCCAATTAAATGCTAAATAGATTAAAATTCGAAACTGCTGCGATAAGCCCAATCAGGAATTCTGATTTATGCCTGCCAAGCGGGGTTGTTCACCCCGCACTCTGCCACACATTCCGTGCCACACTGTCCTGCCCCCACACCAGAGCAGCATCGCTCTTAGGTGCACCATATGGCACCATAGGATAGGGAATTAAAATTATTTTGTGACTCAAAAAAAGCCCTTTGAATGGAACTTGAAATGTGTTTCCTTTGCAGCCCCCAGACCGAACTATGTTGCAGAGTGTAAGCAATTTCCTCGCTGCAGCTGCAGCGCCACTAATCGGGGCTGCTACAAATCGATCTGGGCGGACACTCGCGGTGCACGGACTAATTGCTCATTAATTACCACACATGATTTCCGAATCAATCAGAATCGGAATAATTACAGATATAATCGTACGTATGATGGCCCCACACTCCAGCAGTATATGGAGGAGCCGCCCATCCCCTAGGGCAAAGGTGGGGTCACCTGTTGGGCTCCTGTCACAATTCCGCTACGGTGCCTAAGCTGTCGGTACCCTGGGGGCACGCAGTGCCAACCATGTTGTTCCACGACAAACTTCCTCCCGGATTTTCCCATTTAGTTTGTTTTGTTTTCTGATTCCGCTTTTTGCCCGCTCAGAGGGCAAACACATAACGCAGCTTTTCCTGCCTCCCCACTGCTTGGGGCTGCCACTCAAAGTCTGTGTCGTTAGTCGTTATGAGAAAGGGGTTGCAAAAAGCGTATGTCCACTGACAGCTCTGAGGACGGAAGAAAAAATTGACTGGCCCCGGTACTCGGCGAGTGCAGAGGGTATATGCAATCTGGCGGGTGCGATTGTCAGAGAAATGGGGCATACAGACCATCCAGGACAGCACACATACCGCTAAATATAATAGGTATTCCCAAGTCGAGGCAGTCGTTGTTAGGCAGTCTTTGTAATTAGAGCGGTTCAAACGAGTCTGGGGGCCCCACAGTGGATGAACCAAGGAGAACGGGGGATCATACGCATCTCTCAGTTGTAGACACGCACAGCAAACATGTTGGTACAAACGAAAGGATGGTGGCCATGCCGCCGATGACCAGGATCGTTTCAGAGGCCCAAGGGGACACATATTGGAGGGCCTAAATAAAACACTCGAAGCACTAAAGGAGCTTCATGCCTCAACAGATTTTTCAGGCGGGTCTCTTCCAGAGCCCCATGACAGGCGCCCTAGCCCGTTGGCATCGTTGATACGCTCCTGTTGTATGCGTACGTGTCATGGCATGCATCAGGAGCAGCGCTCAAGCGCGACTGATCCCAGGACCACTCCCAAGCCCGAGCTTGGACTCCATAGATGCCACCAGGTGAAAGTGCCCCATACAAACCATCATATCCTTAATAAATACAACTAAGAGATTGCTCCGTTGGCTGTTTTCGTTTATGATTCAAAAGGAACATTTATTTATTTACTTAGTTCTTTGTTTTTCGCTTATCGCTTATCGCTTGCTCTCGTTTCACAAAAATTGAATTTCTGTATCTTTCAGCTGCCATTTGACTCTTATGCCACACCCACTCCTCCCATCATCATAGTATAGCGTCTTCGGATAGAGCAGATAGAAGGGTATGGGATGGGATGGGATGGGTCTGTGCGGTGTTTACGTGTCGTTTGTCCTAGCAAATACATATTTTTTGAATAAGCCTAAGTCTGGTATTTGCTTTTTGGTTTTTGTTTTTGGTTTTGGTTTTGCTTTTGCACATGCAATCATACAATCATACGGTAGTAGAGTATATCTATAGTTAGACAGATACGGAGATACATTTATATAAAGAGTTAAAGAGTGAGACATAGAGTGAATGACAATTTGTTTTCCCCCGGGGCTACACACATGTAAATGGGTTCTGTATATCTGAGTGTTGGGTGTAAGTGTATCTGTGTGTGGTGGCTTTAGCTTTAGCTTTTGGATTATCTGTTTTCTATGTTTTCCTACTTCATTTCCATATTCTTATGCTTCTTCTCTTTTCCATTCGTTTTGCTGTTAATAGCGTTTACAGTTAGTTTTCAATTAGACGACAAAATATACGTTTAAAGATACATAGATACATACACTCACTTACGCATACACATACATATGTGGGTAGGTATATTTTATAATAAACATGAAACACATTCAGTTAGTTATAGTAGTAGTCGGCAGCTCCTCGTATCTCGTATCTCGTCCTCTCGTCTCTTCCCCCGTTTCCGTGTCCGTATCCGTGATGAGTTCTGAGATGTCTTCTGCTTCTCCTCCTTGCGTCTCCCTGCGTCTCTCTCGCTTGCTCTATTATCTATATCTATCATAAAATTTGTTTGCTCTCGTAGGATATCTGTGTGTATCTGTACGGTGTGTGTGTGTGTGTGTGTGTGTGTGTGAGGCTGTTGTTGGGTGAGGCGTGTGCTGCCTGGCAGCAGTTAGTGTTTGTGTTAGTGTGTGTGAGTGTGTGTATAGTGTATATTATTCGTAAATGGAGAGATAGTGCCAGTGCCGTTCTGTATTTGCCTTAGTAACATTTTCATTTTCGTTTTCGTTTTCATTTTCCAGTGCGAAGCTTAAGAATAAACCATATAGAGAGCTTAAATAACTACTCGTAGATGAATAAGCAGCTGTTTTGGGATTTATTTGCTATTTCTTGCTTTGTTAGTTATTTCGGTGCTTAACTGTACCATTTATGACATTGAACATTTAAACTACGTTTATCCGGAGCCTTTAGTTATGGCTTTGTTTCTTCTTTTCTAGGGAAAGCCCTGCGATCGGGCAGGGCTTGGGGTTGGGACGGGGGGTCTGGTGGGCAACTTTCAGTTGCCTCTTTTCTTGGCTAACAAAATGGCAAATTAATAGACAACGTACGTAACTCTAGAGAAACAGAAACAGAAATAGAAACAGAAACAATTCCTGAAAAAATTCAACTAAACGCCATAACCTAACAACAAGGACATCTTAAGCTAGGGAGCTCGGATCTAGGCCAATTGACAGCCAGGGAAATCGATTCATTCGCCCCCCGACTAATGCATATTTAAAGGGGAGAGACATCTAAAAAATAATTTGACAACGAAACGATTGCGACAAGGGTTTTATCTAAATGAAACATATGTATGTGCGATATCGGCTGAGTGGTGAAAAAGTGAGATGTGAAATGTGAGATGTCAGATGTGTGTTCTGTGCAAGTGTGTGTGCTACCGATTGTGTGCGCGTGTGTGTGTGTGTGTGTGTGTGTGTGTGCGTGTTGGTTTGGCCATCGCTATGGACGCCCATTGCGATCCACTTAACAGTTGCTCTGTGCTCTTTCACCTGATTCTGGTACTGTTTTGAACTTCCCTTATGGTACAATACATACATCATATACTCAATAGCCATAATAATAATCAAGGTAAATAAATATATCGCATCGTAACAATTGAGGACAACATTTGAGAACAAAAGATTCTGTAGTCTGTTGCCATCTTTCTCCCTCTCTCTATCTCTCTACTCGTTTTCCAGGACGTTTTCTTAAATATTACACATTCAATAAAATATGCACATCAATAATTCACATTCAATTATCAATATATGAATATATCATTTATCATTTATCATTTATCTTGTATCGTTATTCGTTTGTTTTGTTTGTTGTATCTGTTTCTGTGTGTATTCCAGTCTGTCTGTGTGTGTGTGTGTTTTTGATGTTATTCAATTTCTAGCTACTTAAATGCTCAATCTTATCTCACCCCCAATACACCTGCAGATATTTCTTTAGCATTCTTTTGGGCTGATGTCAACGACTTGTGAAATTTATTTCCACAAATCTCTGTTGTTTATGTGTGTTCGTGTCTGTGTTGTGTTGTGTCTGCGGCTTGTATCTGTATCTTCTGCTTACGTATCTGAAGTTAGCTGGCTTCTGAGTTAATTGGTTTTCTGCGCCGAACTCTAACAGGTAAATTCACATTTAATCTCACATTTAAAATGTAAAAGTTTTCAATTATTTTATCTTAGGTTTCGCCCCGGGCTCCTGGGCACTTGGCCCCCCACCTCTGACCCCTAACCCGGCGGCGCATCGGCAGCAGCATCAACATCAGTCTCGGCCTATTGCTCGGTCTTAGACTCTGATTCAGATTCAGATGTACATGCCCAGGTCCGCATGGAAGTCCTGCAGATACGAGAGCAGCTGCGAGGGCGTTGGCCTCTGCTTGGCCTCGCAGTGCCAGCAGCAGTTCATAACGGTGAAACTGAGGGCAGGAGGTTGATTAGGGCATGACCGGGGGGGGCAGGCAAACGGATCGGGTTACTCACAATTCATCGGGGCAATTGACGGGCTGCTCCAGCCGGAAGCCGGCAGCCAAGTAATTGGTAAGCTCGAATATGTCCACCTCCTCGTGTGGCATCTGGGCGAGGGTGACCAGCTCCCAGTAGAGGACGCCCAGGGACCAGACGTCGCCTTGCGACGCGTACACCTTCTTCTGCAGCGCCTCCAGCGAGAGCCACTTCAGTGGCCGGTTCTCGTTGTCGCCCAGGCAGTCGTAGTCGTCCGGGAAGAGGTCCCGAGACAGGGCGCCGTCGCAGATCTTCACGTACGCCTCCTCATCCACACTGAAACGAGAAGGAGTTGCGGGTGATTGTGAGAGTAGAAGGGCTGGGACGCTCATCGACTTACTAGCAATTGCGTGTGGCAATATCCCTGTGGATGATCCCCAGGGAGTGCAAGTAGGCCAGTCCCTTGGTGATGTGCAGCCCGAACTCCACCAGCTGGCGGGTGCTGAGGGCTGTGCTGGACTCCCGTGACTGTTGCAAGTACCTTTGGACGGAGAACGGATGCATAGAGAATTCAATGGAAGAAATTTGTCCGGTATACTCACATCTTTAGGTTCCCCTTGGACGGATAGGGATATGCAATCTCTGGCGGCCCGGGCAGCTCGGTGTTGGCCAGCAGCGGGGCCAGGATGTGCTGGTGGCTGACCCCGATCAGCAGCGAAGCATCTTGCAGCAGGCAGGCCACCTGGGTGAGCGATGCCCCATCTATGACAGTCTTCACCAGAGCGTCACAGGAGTCGCCCAGCTTGCCGGCGTAGATCCGTCCGAAGGTGCCCTCCTTGACCAGGTGCTCGTAGTTGAGGGCTCCCGGCTGGACGCTGGGAATGCGACGCAGTCGGTCCTTGGTCTTCTCTCCGTGACTGGCCATGGTGATGGTGCTGCCACCGTTGACGAAGGCCCCGAAGAGGCTGCCACTGCCACCGATGCCACGGCTGCTCTTTGGAGTGGACATGCTGCAGGGCTGCAGAACAGCATAGAAAGAGAGGAATCGTGTAAGGACTCATATTGTAGCCAGAGTTTTCTATAGTTAGTTTTCATTGGCAGTCGCCCCCCCTCTTGCCATCTGCCTCCATCTGTCTGATTCTGTCTGATGAATCTTTAAACAGATAGGATTAGTAGCTCCCGAAGACGCTTCCGAGCTGCAATTGCAGCACTTCAATGCACTCGAAAGTGCCTTCTGCTCAGGGCAGGGTCGGGTCGTGTCTGGTGGTAGAATAGTTGATGACTAGATGGTAAACTGTATAAATTTCCATATTTCCATGCCCAGCTCCAGGGCCGGGCCCCCGTTTAATTTGGCTCAAAGATTGGCAAAGTATTCCATTCCCCAAAAGGCCGAATGGGACAGGCAATGGCAATAGCAACAGCAAAGACATTGTATGAGGCAGACGATGGCAGTCGCAACAGCAATTTCAGATGCCGGATTTGCATCTTTCAGTTTGCATCCGTTTACCGTTAGTCATGCACTCGGCTGCGCCGTGCCCCCGCCGCTCCATAGCTAGCTCCTGCGCTCATTCATTTTAATGAATTGAGTTCCGTTTCCGCTCCGAGGCACTTGGCCCGATCCCGTCTCCGTCTACGCCACCGCCTCCGCCAGCCCAAGACGTTGCCATAATTTTCTCTTGCTGCCTTGCTCTCCTCCTTGCTCCTGCCCCTGGTCGCAGTTGTCTTACAGCATGAATAATTTATTGGCTGGCAAAAAAGCTTTAATTCGCCGAGCATTATGTTTGCATAGCCTCGAGGAGGAGCTCTGTAGAGCGGAGCTCAGCTGTAGGAAATTGCTAGCGTTCGTCCTGTGCAAACAAAGTCTGTGAAGTCGGGAAGGAGGAGGGGGGATATCCTCCCATTTGGCATCCCCACTCCCCTTGGATACCAGCCTACGCAGCACATTTATTTTCATAAAACCATTTACAGGCCCTCTCCCGAAAAAGAGAAACTCCGGCTAATAAACACAAGAGAAATCACTTCATTTCTCTCACGCTCAAATCTGCATAACTGCGGCGGGGCTCAAGTGGGATCCTCTGGGATCCCAGGGACACTAAATCTTCATCAGAGCAGAGCAGGAGCAGCAGCAGGTGGACGTGGACTGCCCGGGACTCAACTTTTATTAAACCGCCAGCAATATGCGGAGAATTATATTATTTTGCGCGGTCCGGCAATGGCCAAATGGGAGCCACAGGTACAGGAGCAGTAACAGTAGCAGGAGCAGGAGCAGGAGGAATGCCGGACAGGACGACAAGGACCTTCCTGGCATTCAGGACTGGGGCAGGAGCAGGTCGGTAACAATTGCAACAATAACCACAACGACAACAGCCACGACAAAAGGCAATAAAAACAATAGTTGGCTGCCTTTTGTTAGTGAATTTCATTTCATGATTGCCGTCATTGCCACTTTCCCGAAGGGGAAAGTCCCCCCCAATGTCCCTGCTTTACCCTGCCTTTCCCCATCTTCGCTCCCGTCTGGTCTGTTTGTGATTTCTGCTGTTTTGTCCTTTATTGTATTTGTCGCTGTTGCTTTCGCCGGGGCTGGCTTCTGCCGTTCTCCTCACAAAGAAAATTCAATTAAAACGCAACAATATCGCACTCCATCATCAAAGCTCCATCCTGAAGGCTGGGATATGTCCCCGGCATGGCTGGGATCTGCCGTGGCTCATCAGTGGGCGCCCCGCCCCGGCTATAAATCCCCGTCGCTCAACATGCAAACTGGATGTCGGTCGCTCCCACGTCCCGGCCCCAAGCAGAGATACAGAAACAATTGTCTGCACCGGCGACGCTTTTATGCGCTCAGACCTTGGACCTTGATCCGGCTGTTGCTCCTGGTTCTGCTTCTCCTCTTTGCATTCGTTGTGACTCCTTTGCCTGTGTTTGGCTTAAACTGGGGCTGGGCCTGGGCCTGGGCCTGGGCGCGTTAATGAGGGCCGCAGAAGTGTAATTCGAATTCAGGTAATCGGCTTGGAATTGGGAATGTGGAATCGGTTAATTGTTATTGACTATTTGCTATCTTATCTCCTTATCTCTTTGCCAATAAATTGGGAAATAGCAATTTCAGCAACATTCATCCCCAATCGCGGGGCAGTACCACTTTATGGGGATTTCTCTCTCTCTCTCAAATTGTTCAAATTGCAAATGAAAATGTTCGCTTTATAGCTGCTGGGGCGGGGGCATGACAGGACCCTGGGCGGGGGCATATTAAAAGCCAATGTCGAACGAGGAGACATTATTGCTTGGGTTTTCATTCGAAATTGCCAAAGAGCCGAAATATCTGCCAATTTCCCATCACAGATCGCATTTCGAATTGCCATTGCTATGATACTATGGAAGGGACTTTTCCATGCCGAGGACCGAGTTTGGGCTGGCTTGGTCCTGCTATTAGTCCCCACTGGGCGTCAAGGAGATGACAGGCGTGGAGGCAAGGCTGATGGTGGCTTGCAGCTGCTTGGCTTTGTTGTGACATTTCTAATGACAACACCACATGGCTGTCCTGGGTGGTGGGGTGGGTGGTTGTCCTGCACATGACGTAAGCACAAGCACACAAAACAGCACATAAAACCTCCACCTCCACCCCACACCAGTGCACAAACACGGGCCTGACAGGCGTCTGATTTGCTTATGTCACTTGCAGCTCTACGGCTGCCCGCAGGAACAACAGCCATGCCTGCTCCTCCCACCCATTTTCCGGTCCGAAAACACCCGTCCACCACCACCACCGCCACCCTCTCGTTGCTTGTAATTAAAAACGCTTGATGACAATTTTGCCAGGACTGCGCCAACCCCACGTCAGTGACGAGAAAACCAAAATGCAGCTGAAAACTTTTCGGCAACACAAATTTTCGCACAGTGGCTGGGATGTGGGCAAACATTTTAATGAAGTTTTCGCGGTGAAACTTTGGTCAAACTCTGATGAAATTTATTTTTTGGGCAGAGAAAAACCTCTTTAAAAGTTCGAAAATATGCATAAAATGAGTAAACGTATATAGTACATATGTTTCTCTGTCAGATCCATCTCTTAAAAGTACTTCGCACCTTGATTGCACATACATAGAATGTGTCATCGGCTTTATCGATGTACTGGTTCCACTGTGCAGGCCCAACAAGTTTGAGAGCTGGTCGCAAATTGCTGATGCTGTTGCAAATATTCCCATCTATCCACCGCTGCTTTTCAACGTACCCGACCCGATGCGGCAGGGAGAGCGGGTTGAGAACATTACGCATACGACCTGTCGCCTTGGCATTAGTGGAACCAATGGCAGCCGAGGCAGGCGGCTTGATGAACCAGAGTCAGTCAGGTGGAGCCGACACAGAAACCAGGACTGGCTCAATTATATTTCAATTTACCTGACAGCAAATGAGGGATAGAATATTTTCCTATTCTGTTTCCCCTAGCTTCTCGTCATCGGAAAAGCCTTTAATCAAGGCCTCAGCTCAGCTTGAGTTTTTCCGGCACTCCTCGGGCTTCTCTTTGCCAGAGCTTTCATTATTTTACCATTTCGGGGACGATGCTGCCAGGACAAACTGTGCGCCTTCTAATTTGCTAGAGAGACTAATTTGAATTTTGTTTGATTTATGCCTGATATCGATTGGCCCTCTTTATCAGTTCCGTTCCCCTTTGATGCATGGCATTTTGATGAGGCGATTTAGCCTCGTTAGCCCCGCCATTTAATAAGCGTTTCGGGTCGCACACACAAAAAGGTTCACTCGGCTAATGCATAATTGAAAAGCGGCAAGCGGCAGACCGGCAGAGCGGCAGAGCGGCTCCACGGGCCTGTAAAATGGAGGTGGGGCGGGACAGGCATCAACTTGTAATTAAAGGTGGCGTATACTTAACCCAAGTCATCGTCGCTTACTTGTACACGCACTTAATCACGCGTAATTGCCTTTCAATTACGCATCGCGTGTCCGGGCCATGCCCCACCCGCCCACGCTTTGAGGTCAGCATTTTACAATTTATATACATACGAGTGTAATACTGTACAGTGCTCTACAGATTTGCTAGGTCCACAGTTAAGCTTGTTGTTGACTCCGCCAATTAAATCAATTTGCAATTTTCCGACCTGTTTCTGTTGGCCCTGAGGGAAAACCTGGCTATCAGTGGGAAAATATATTACTGGATATCTGTCAACTGAATTCAAGGACAGGGCATTTCCTCATGGTTAATGGACAAAGAACAAGTTCTCTAACTCTGAATTATTTCCATGTAGCTCTGTCGGAATCGGACGCCTGAGAAAGGATGATCCGAGGCCACTCTCTGGCTGCATCCACACCACAGTGTAGTCGGGGAAACAAAAGAAACATCCGCCACTCGGCCAACGGCTTCCGATTGCCTCTCCTGAGGCTGGGGCTGACAGGAAGCAATCAATAGTGTAATGCCAGACAACAGCATCCGCCGCTGTTTGCCTGACCAATCCCATCACCAGGGGATAAATGATGGCGGATCGCAGACTTGGAGTAAAAAAATATCCCCTGGGGGTCGGATAATTTGTCAACCTTTGGTGACGGCTCGGCCTTTGCTCAACGGTCAACTCTTTGGAGTCGCCACCTGCCACGATACCCATTAGGTGTCCATCCTTTTCATTTCCATAAAGCTTTTGTGCCGAGTGTAAATAATGTGTTTTAATCAAAAAGAACAACAGTGGGATATCCATTAACGGAGTACGTGTCACCAAATTCTTCTGCGAACTGTGGACTGGTACCTGGAAAGCTCCAGTCTGTCCCCCAGCGCTGGGGGGGTTGACTTCGCCCCATGCGGCCCGCGTCATTTACTGGTTTAATTACAAATTTCTTTAATGGGGCGACGACAACATTTTAAATTAGCACCTGCTCCCTCTTATCCCCATCCCAATCCTCTCTCTGTCATTTGCTGATGCAGAAATCTCCATAAAACACCGCGACATGCTCCAACCTCCACGGAAATTAATTTCCTTTGCTCTATCCTTCATCCCTTCTCTGCCTTTTTGTTTTTGCTCTCGCACTTGAAAAACTATTGCTTTGCGGATGCCATTCAAAGCCACTTTGTTGTTGGCTCCTCCTCAAGCCTCTACAGCGCGGCCGCTGTTCCGAGCCAATATCCTAATACCTCACTGCCACGAAATCTATTCTGCCACTGAATATGGCATCTGCTCTCCACACTCTCCTCCTGGAGCTCAATCCTTTGTTGGATGGGGCTGCAATATTTTGCAAGTGTTTATAAACAAGCACAAAGCCATGTTTTAACAGCTGTAGTCCGTAGGCGAAGTCTGGTTTCGCTGCCGTTTTTATTGTTATGCTCCCCTACCATTTCTCCACCCTCTGCACCCCCCTATCCTTTGTTAGAAGCTCCCTTGCAACCGTTGCCGTTTGCTAAGCTTTTGCTGCACATTAAAGCAATTTGGCCAACATTTATGGACTGATTTAATAGAATCTAAGGGAGTGGTTTGCCAGAGGGGCACAGGAAGGGCTCCACTCCACACACAAATGAGATATTTCCACACAACTGAACAGAGCAGACTCTGTGTGTCTGTGTGCACTTGGATATAATTGTTTGACTAAATGAGTGCGCTCCGCCCCCCCTGTTCTATATGTTTGTGCCCCCAAATGGTGCTACACTTCGCTTAACGCTCACACATGTATGTGGCAAGAGGAGAGTGGGGAGGGGAGGCCACTGAATGGGGAACAGAACAACAATAATTATGGCAAGCAGCCTCAGACCCCGACCGCCTCTCCACTTGCATGGACCCTTCCTATCGCATCTCCCCACCACCCCTGACTCTGAGAAGGGAACGATTAGAATGGGTAAGAGAATTCATTTAATTTCTCGACGTCTGCTGCGGTGCGTGCTTGTGCATGTGGCATCCTTCCACTGTGAGTAGATAGAGACTGAGCTGATGTGACTCTTCTGGTATGTGTACATATATTTGTCTGGAAAATGTCTTTTAAATGCGTGAAATGCATGAGCAAATAGATAAACGACTTTGGCAGGCTTCTAAATTTGCAGCTGACCGGCTTACAAGCCCTTGTTGTACCACACGGTGTCCAGGTCGGGACGTTTCTTCTGAATATTTTCGCGCACCTTCTTCTCCAGGCTGGACACCTTGATGGCAGCACGCTGGCTGAAGAACGCACAGCCGAGGGGTGTGGCAAAGATGAGCACAAAGCCGCAGAACAGAGTTTGGATGGGAGCATTCCAATTCGGGTATTTCGCCAGGAACCCCCTCTGCTCCAGCACGTTCATCATTACCGGGGTCATAGTCATGCCCGGTATGGCCATGCCGATGCGACTCAATATCACAGCCGTGATTCCCAGGCAGGCGGCCTTCCTGGATACGCCCACCTCCGTGTTCTTCTCATCCAGCAGTACGACCCCGTTGCGAATCTCCTGCATGCGCATGCACGGAATGTTAATGCAGTTGCCGGCGGCCACGGCCACCAGTGGGACCAGTCGACCCACCAGCGGACTCATCTTCTTTACGGCCCGGTTGAGAGACAGCGCCGTGGCCAGGGCTCCGCTGGTTGCCAGGCAGTACGAGGTCATTAGCTGCGACTTGCTGACGGGCGAAGCGCCCGACCGATTTGTGTAGTTGACGATGGCGTTGAAGGTTTGATTGAACCACTGCCAGAAGACAACGGCGCGAGTGGTCTTGTAGAAGGCCATCATGCCGCCAGTGATGAACGTGTTCATGGGCATTTGCGCCGACATCCGGCCAATAATGATCTGCCTCTCGCCCGTCTCCGGATGAAAGGCTGAATCGTACAGGTACTTTGCCCGCCACACGTCGTCAATCGTCTCGCACTCGGGTACGTCCTTGCCGGCTCTGTACTTCAACACGATCTGGCGGGCCTCCTCCAGCTTCTTGTTGGTGGCGAGCACATTGAGGGGATTGGTGACCAGAAAGAAGTGCTTCGCCCTGCCCAGATACGTACTCTGGTCATATTTGGGCTGATCAATATCCACACGTGGAAGTGGGGCCATTTTCCAAACCGTAAATATCAATCTAGAATTTTGTTTGTTTACAAATTACTTATGGATTGCCGTCATTTCAATAGAATGTCGATGACTCTTCCTGGATGGCGCTTGGTGGGGTCCAAAGACCCTGGAGTGTCCGAATTGACGCTTCTGCCACAACGACTGGACCAATCGCTAGTCAACAAGTTTCTTCAGGCTTCGTTCCACATTCGCATTAGAATTTTGAAATACATCGTTTTCCTAATCTGGTGCTTTTGAATTGATTGCCAGCTGTCAAACCAGTGTGTGTGTGGCATGGCCTCCCCACCCAAAATGACTATTAAATTGAAGTCTAAACAAACAGAAATCGTTGAGCGAAAATTCCCGAGGGTAAAGCCCCGAACAGAGCACCTAAAAGTTCCCGCAAGTTTTCCTGGAAATTGAAAATTTAATTATGCAACGATGGAAATGGCGTCGGAACTTGGTGACGAAAATGGGTCCAGACATAATGAGGATAGTGAGGAGAGGGGAGGAGTATGGGAGATAAAAGGAAAGAGAGCGCGAATCTCTGGGAGAAGTCATAGTCGGTTCTGGAAAAGTCTGAGGAATGTTTACAAGGAAAATAATTGCGAGGCTGCAAAATAATTTATTCTAATTTCTAGGAGATTTTCACAGAAGCAGAAAGTTAACTTTCCCGAAAGAAATGCTAATGTTTTCCCTAGAGGAGGAAAGGAGGAGCACATTGGACATCGGGTCACAACCATTCGATGGGAAGGGGGCTATTTCTCGGTTCGTTTTGAGGGAAAACTAAGGGATTTATTGGGTAGATAAGTGAGGTTCTGATGGCTGTTTGGGTTAGTTTGGATTCAGTTCTGCTCGAGGGAAAACGACGAGGGGCGGGCCCGTGGGTGGCAGTCGCTCGATTTGAAACAAAAGCAAAGATACCGAGGAGCGGCAGACTGTCTGCGTCTGCCTCTGCCTCCATGGAGCACCTTTCGCTTATCTAAACAGTGACCTTCTCCTCATCTCCAGCACCCTCTACGCTCCACTCTCCAGTTACCCACACGGGAGTACTCCCATCACATCCTTCACCTCTCCAGGCACTGGGTTTCTGTGTCGTCTGTGTGTGTACTGCCCTGCCGCCCCCTCGTCCACGCCCCACATGAGGTATGCACCGGTACGTGAGTGCCACACAGAACTTGCCCCAGCCAAAGGGGACAGAGACGCAGCAACCAGACATCCTTGAAGGGTGTGGGGGAGGGGGAGGCAGGGAAAGCCGCATATTTATGAATGGCTCTGCTCTTGTTTCGAGTTAACGCACTACGGGAGCTTTATCAGCTCGTAAATATAAATTAGAATTTAATTTTTATCGTCGAGGAAAGGTGGCTGAAGCGGGATGCGCCCTCCTCCCCTGCCTGGGGAGCAATCGTGTGGTGCTTGGGACAAATTAGAGTGGAGTAGCGCCATGGCAACCCCATAAGGAGACTCTGCTTCAACGGGATTCATTTCCATCTCCATTTGGCTGCCACGTGCCGCAATATTTCAAAGGCTTTGATTTACCCGTGGGCAGCTCGCAGCTCGCAGTCCCTGTCCGATCCCGATCCCAGTCCGAATCCCATTTTCAATCCCAATCAACCCCCTTGGGGCTGTTAATGGGGATAGTTCTCTATCGGCTCTCACCTGGGTCAGCGTCAGCTGCGAGGAGGCGTAGTAGGATATCCTCGAGGGACAGATCGACTCTGGCTTCGAGTAGATTGTTTCTCCGGCCTGCGTCTGGTCCCCCATCGGCAGCAGGGCGGTGGCGTAGGGCGTCGGGATGGGGGAGCTGCGGAAACCTGTAGAGTGGATGCGTTAGGACAGGGCTAACCCCAGTGGCCAGTGGTGGGTGGAAAGGGGGGCACGGGGCTGGGATAACTCACGGTCGAAGATGCTGCACGACTTCTTGGTCTCCCCGGGGTATTTGTTGAGGCTGGCGATGGTCGCGTAGGAGCCGGTGGCACTCGGTGGCCGTCCGAGCGGGTCGAGGCGGATGAAAACGTTCTGGTGGCTGCCATAGGCCGCGGTGGTGAAGCTTGTGCTGTGGAGAAGGCAGAGGAGGAGGTGTTGATGTTGAGGAGAGAGAGAAATGGAGGGGTTAGCTTACTGAAGCGAGTCCTGGCGAAGCTGCTTGCGAGCCCGCAAATACATCATGCTGGCCACGAGGCCCACGGCCAGGACCAGGCCGAGGGCACAGGCTGCGGCACTCAGCAAGGCAGGGCCCTGGGAGGGGGCATGGGCGGGGGCCGGCGATTGGTTCGGTTCGGGTGAGATGCCTGTTGATTGGAGGAGATGGATGGTGATGGATGAGATGCATGTGATCCCTGTGGCAGTGCGAGCGATGGTGAGACCTACCCTTGGCACAGATCTTGTTGCGCTTGAAGTGGAGCCTGGTGTCGTTGAAGCGCGGGGGTCCTCGCACCACCATGTTGACGTTGACGGGCAGCTGGAGGCTGGCGTTGCCCGTGCACGGGAGGTACACCAGGAAGGACTCGATCTCCTGCGGCACCAGGCCCTTGTGGGGGATGCTCAGCGTCGGGGTGCCCAGGGCGTCCTGGTCGTTGGCGTACTCGATGCTGATGGCGTAGGGCAGCTGTGTGGGGAGGGCGAGGGTTCCACCAGTTAGATTTGGATGGATTGGGGGTGGCGGTGGATGGTGGTGCCTGGTGTCAGGTCAGGTGTCTTACCGGATAGGCGATGAGGCTCTGCCAGGAGAACTCCAGCTCGTGGACGTCCGCGGGCACCGGGACGGTGAAGTGCATCGCGTATGTGTTAATGGATCCCTCGTGCACGTAGAACAGATCCGCCTCGAGTCCTGCGAAGGATGGAAGAAGCGAGAGAATCAGAAGCAGAATCAGAATGAGCGTGGGGGATGCGGATGCGGATGCAGTGCAGACATAAAGGGAAAGTTTCCTCGCAATTTGCTTTGGCACACCCCCTCCATTAGCGTGGCCTTCATCCTGGCTCCAGGACTCCCCCCCCGCCTACCACCACCCCCTGCTGAGCAAACTTTGTGCATTTGCTGTTTACTCGCCCCTCAAGTCCCTTGCCAGCGCCCTTGAGCGGAAATTGACTTTCTCTTCAACACAATGGAACGGGCGAAGGGTGGGGGAAAAGGTGGCAAGGAAGAGGGGGGATGGAGTGTTGCACTAGGTGACAACACTGGCGGGTAAACAAAACCCAAAACCCAAGACACAATAATAATCGAAATCGAACCCGTCACCAGCAGACGACGATGCGGGTCGCGGCGCAGGATCTGGGATTCCGCTAAATGAGGGAAGGGAAGGCATACTGGGGCAAGGGCTGGCGGGTAGGGTGTATTAAAAGGTGTCAAATTCTGTCCTAGCTCGACTCCGACAGCGACTCCCGCCACTTCATCGAGAGGTGGAATCATCTTTCATTGGGCAGGGGCGTCCTGAAGAGTTCTGTCCTCAGTCCGGAACGCTTTCCAATCCTCTCCCCATCCTGCCTAGCCCCCCGCTGGCAATGAAAGACGAGCTGCTTGAGTTAAAACGACGTGAAATTAAATTTCTTCATCCGCTTTCATTGTTGCTCCTCCTGTTCCTCATCCTCTGCTCTGCTCTGCTTATCCCCCCGCCCCATTGTGGTGCATTATTTACTCCCGAGTATCAGAATAAGCTTCGTCCTCTCACGCTTTTCAGGGATGCAGGGGGAATGGTGTTTGGTCTCTTCAACTTTCCGCTACTTCTGCTCCTGGCTGTGCCTCCGCCTCCGCCTCAGACTCCGCCGGATGTTGAATGTTGCCATTCCGCTTCCGGCAGAGGCACAGGCAGCGGCATAGGGCAGAAGGAGTGTAGTGTGCATTTGGAATAGAACAAAGCGCTCTCCGTGCTCCTTAAAACAATTTTAAATCCAATTACAGACCAAGAAAAGCGCTTTTCGTTCGCTTTCATCCTTCAACCTGGCCTCTCCTTAAAACATCTCCATCTTACGACTGATCCAATGCTCCAGCTCCATCTCCAGCCCTTCTTCTGTTTCTATTCCTATTTCCATTTCGGTTTGGATTCGTTTTAGAGTCCCAAATTGCTTTACCCCCCACAGCATACGCTGCTCTGATGTTGCCCCAGACTCTGTGGCAGAGTGGGACAAGTGTGGCACTTTCCTTTGGGTTTGGCTTTGGCGGTGGGCGAGTGCGAGTCCTTCAGTCACCTGGTAGCTGTTTTTTCCCTCTCCCAGGGAATGATCTGTCCTATCAAACCCCAAACATAGCCCACAAGTGACTCCACTACCATCAAATATGCACAAACATGCGAAAAGGACAGTTCCACTCAGTCATTTCTTGTCAAAGGACAAGCCCCACAAACCGTTCTGCAAAGGGTGGAAGGGTGCAAGGGGTAGGGGGTTGCACTTGCGACAGCCTCAATTAATTCAGTTCCCTCATCTCGATTGGCCTCTTTGGGACAACAATCCTCAACTGCGCTTTGAGCATCCCGAATTGGCATTCCCACCCACACCTCCCCCTCTCCTATCTCCTCCTGCAAGTGTCTCCCCCCCCCTTTGGCCGTGTCGAAACTTTGCTCGTCTTTCATATCACGCGCTTTTCCTTCGCCCTCGACTTCCCCTTTCTGCCGTTCCTGCCAGTCGCTGCTGAACTTTACCTGCGAAAGTTTTCCTCGCTTATGATTCCCCTCCTGGGCGGATCCCCCTTTGCCATAATTATAATACCTGCGATTGCAATTGTCTGAATGACTCCGCCGCACACACGTGACGCTGCAACCGCAACTTGGATGCAGGGAAGGGAGCGAGGAGAAGACTTGGCTGGAGCTGGAGACTAGAGAGGATTGGCTGGAGACTGGTGGAACATAGTTCTGGCAGAGCCCAGAGCACAGACACAAAATTTACATAAAAGATTAAGAGGATAATTAGTGTCATTAGTGCGGAGACAGCATCCCATTTAGCCCCTCTCCACTCCTCACTCTCTGGGGAGTGCAGTGGCACCTTGGCGCTGATTAAAGCTCCCTGTGATTGTGATTGTCCTTTGAATCAGAGGCGAGAACCGCCCAATTGGCACAGATTTCGAGCCCCTCCCGCCACACCCAGCCAGGCAAGGCAATCGTGATGGATTCCAAGTGTCGAACCACCCCTGGAAAGGACCTGTGAGGGATCTTATTGACCCAGACTGTCGAGCGGGGCGGGGGCATATTAATGTGGAGATTTTCGGACTGTTTTCTATTCATTAAAAATAATTTTCTTTTGCATTAACTTTTCATTTGAGGGGAAATTTCCTCCGTTCACTCTCTGAAGGTTGAGCTCTGTCCAAAGGGGGTGCGGTGTGGGCTGAGGGGAAGCTGGTCCGAGGGGGGGACGCAGGAAAAAGGAAAAGTGTGCACATCAAAGCGAAACTTGTTGAAATTGCATTTTTACGCACCCTTGAACCGGGAAAGTCTTGAAGAGATGGAAGGGAGGGGGATGGGGATGGGGAGTGGGTGTTGGTGTGGGTGACGGTGTCGGTGTCGCTGGCAACGAATGCGGAAAAGAGGAAAAATGCTCACGTTACTGGGACAACAGAAGAGAACAGAAATTGAACTCAGAGGCGGGAAATCTTCAACAAAAGCGTAAGAAATATTTAATTTTTATGTTGTCGTCACTTCATGGAAGATGGGTGTGGAAGGGGCATACCATGCCACGCCCAGAAGGAGCGGGAATCGGGGAATTGAGAGGCGGACTGAGGCAATCGTCGAACTTTGCTTACAGTTCCATGGCAGTGGCAGACACCGAGGCTGGAGAAGCCTCAAGGGATGCAACATATTGCTGGAGGGAGTCCTTGGTCCCATATTCATGCAACAAGATGGTTTTGGGGGGACCAGGAGGTAGCTGGAGCTGGAACTGAATGTGGGGTTGGAGCTGAATGGGTCGTCGTGCAACCATGACGAGCCGTCCTTCCTCTTGAACGGTCTCCACATGGAGCCAGGGGGGAATGAAATGGTGGAGGAGGTGGCAGGGGTTGTGTGGGTCAGTTTGTTTGATTTCAAGCTGCTTCTTAATTTTCCTCCCCAAAGCAGGACCAAAGGGAGGGGTGTTAACTGGTAGTTAAAAACATAACGAGCCATCGCCAGGGGTAAGGGATGAAAAATCGAAAAGGAGCTTCGGGCTGGAGTTGGAGTGCGACAAGGCGGAAGGAGAGGAAAACTCCAAGCAATCGAGCAATGGAAATTCCAAAGAGCAAAAAACAAAGTGGAAAATCTTTTGAGTTGTCGCTAATGAAATTCGATTTGCATGGACGGTCAGTGGTAGGGAGTGGGTGGGGGTGGGCGTGGAGAGGAGGCTCTTTGTGAGCCGCAGTTGACAGGAAGGTGCCTGTATTCATGCCCCATCGGCCTCGAATGCAATTGAAAGCCTTCCAAGGGGGGTGGAGGGGAGTGGTTGCATTCAGGAGGCGGTGCAAGTAGAGGAGGGCATCAGCAGGAGCTGGAGCAGGAGTCGGTGGAGAGCCGCTCATTCATTCATCCATCAATCAACTATCCATCTCCTTATCCATTTCCATTCCCACTTGATGTTGATGTGGATTTTTTTTGGGCCATCAACTAATTAAAGTGCCTCTGATTCGGCAACTAGGAAACGGAGGGGAAGTGGCACAGGCGGGGGCGGGGGCGGGGCACAGCCGAAGCCTGCATAATGAGATGGAAGCCTTTATGCTCCAATTACAGTTAAGTGCCGGAAAATGCTGTGACCAGCTAAGCGACGAATGATGGACTGGCGGCCAGGAACTAGGCCACCTCTCCTCTCCACTTCTGCCCACTCCCCCCCTGTTGCTTCTCCCTCTCCGTCACCCAATTTCCATTCCGATTTCGATTCCTGTGATCCATTAATCAACCTGAGGAGCAGGAAAATCGCGAGGCAAACGACAGGCACGGCCAGGAGGCCATTCCGCTGTGGCACGTCGAATGATTCCTGCTATGTCTATGGCCGGATAACGAAGAGGGAGGTGCAGAGGAGAGGCCGTCTTGGCCTTGGCTCGATCTGGAGCCGGCGCCATCAATAACAGGAATTCGCGTGAAGCAACAAACGGGAAAACAAGAAAACAAACAAACGGAACAGAACGGAACGGAGCAGCAAAACAACATGGAAAGTGGGCTGGAGAGGGTGATGGAGTGTAGGGTGGCTAAGCAGGGTGGTGGCAGGAGGGGAAGGAGGCAGGAAAAGCTACTTGCAGCTGTCAGCGAGGCGGGGGAACGGCGAACGGAAATCGATTTGTGCGCGATTTGTTCTGTTTCCCACTTCCACACACCTCCCACTGCTCCCCCCTCCCACCCTCTCTGGTCAAGTATAATTTCAGAACTATTAATGACTATGATATGGCCCTGTGTTGGTATTGTGTTTTCGTGCTCGTGATCAATGAATGTGTCCTGTCGCACTTTGTCCCCCAACTATTAATCATCGCTCAGGGTGGGAGCGGGGGTGGGGCTAGTCTGACTGAAGGGGGGCGTGTCAGTCTGAGGTTTGTCTCCAAATCGAAAGGTGGTTTCATTAAGGTTAGAGGGGGACTGTAACTGGAACTGAGAACAGGACTTACCCATCAGTTTCATCACCTCGTGGTGGCTGATGAAAATATTCAGATATCCTCTGACCAAAGGCGTCCGCCAAGAGGCCAACGAGAGGCAGAGGAGCAGCAGCGGCAGGGAACGGGAACGGGCTCTGAAGCAGGCCATAACGATGTCTAGTGGGGGCAGGGAGCAGTTAATAAATTGTCAGAGCATGTGCCCAGCATTTCAACAGCTCCTCTTCCCACGTCCTCCCTCGGGTAGCAGCCAATCTCAGTGTGTGGCCACTGAAGCGTCGAGAGTGGGTGGAGGTCGCTGCCGTTTCCGATGGGGGGGAACTTTCCTGCTGTTGAAACTGATTTGAATCCAGTTACTCCTCTTCCTGCTGTTGGTGCCACAAACAGCAGCCCAGAGCCGAGCAGGACAAGCGATGCGCCTCGAAGAGAAGCGTTAGAATCAAATTCCAATTGCTGCTAACAGTTCCGGATGGAATGGGGTCGCTCTGCCGAAATTTTCAACTTTTCAGCCTCTTCCTCTCTGAGCCGGGCTGTTCCAGCTCCCGGACTTTGCTCAACTTTTCCTATTTTGTTTTGCCTGCCGTTGCCGCTGCTGCTGCAGCTGCAGTTGCTGCCGTCCTCCTCCTCCCTTGGATTCAACCTTCACCTCGCCTCAGCGTGTCCGCCACATTCGGCTCTGGCAGAGTTTTCCCGGACTTTTATTGGCTGAGCTCCTGTCAACTGCCCGTGCCTTTCCCCTGATCCTGCTGTTGCTTCTCCTCTCTGCTCTGGTGTGTTGTTTTGCGGGTTCCTCCTGTCACATTGACCACTTGATGGCGTAGAAAAACTTTCCCTACCCCGTTGTCGGCGTCCTTTCACAGTATATTCTTCGTCTTGGTCCTGTTCCTGTTGAATAGAAAGCGGTTTAGTTTAGTTCAAGTCGAGAAGCTGCAAAAAAAAGTTGCAAATATTGTAGAAGAAGCTGCGGAAGGAGACAGATTAGGAGGGATTAGATGGGGGCGAGTGCGTGGTCCTGTGGTTGAGTGATTCCCTTCCAGAGTCAACAATTTGTAAATGCGAATTTTAGAGAATTTCAGGGAATAAAAACTTTGCCCGATGTGCTAAAGTAATTATAAACTTGAGGGGAGATTAACAGCTTCCAGGATTCTGGAGGGGCTGCATCCGTCAGACTTCACTTACAACACACACACACACATTTTGTGGCATGTGTGGGGAGTGGGAGAGTGGTAATATTTATGTGTTTGTTTGGCATAAATTATGAACTGGAAAAAGGTAACAAGTTTTGGCATTCGAAATGTTTGTGGCTCAAGTGGTTGGCCCTTGCCCTCTATCCCCGCTACCCCGCTACCCCTCCGTGGCACTGTTTATTCAGCTGTTTCTGCCACTGCTGCTGGCCCTCAATCCCTGCTGGTTGCGTGTGCAGGTAGCTCGAGTGGAATTCCAACTGCAACATGGGGCAGCTTGGAGGGTGGAACAGGGGGCAGCCTACGCTGTAGGCATGACAATGGAACAGTCGAGTGGCTCCAAAATGAAATTGTTGCCAAGAAGCAGCAGCAATTGCTCCACTTGCCCCAATCTCCACGGGAATGCTCTCCCCTTCTGCATCTCTTTCTCCAGTTTAATTCCTTCTCTTCCTTTTTCTAGCCGCAATAAAAATCGAAATCGGAAAAGTTTGTAGCCTTCGCTTGCCCATTTCCCATTTTCCATTTCCCTAGTCTCCTTTTTGGCTCTGAACATTTTGGAATCTTAAAGTTTTACAAGCGGAAGATAGTTGTGGCAGTGGGCGGAAAGGGGGTGGGGCGTAGCCTTCGAATTCTGCGGCCATTTTAATTAAACTTATCTGCGGCCAAAAAGCGCCTCAGGATGCCAAGAAGGCACTTGATTAAGAGGCAGATCAACATCAGCATCAGCATCACCATCTCCATCATCATCATCGTCATCCAGAGACGGATAAGGAAAAGGATTCACGTCTGCAGAAGGGGGACGAATCCTTCGGCATTCGAAGCCATTCAACGAATGCATTCATTAATAATTCAAAAGACAAACAAACGCAGGCGAATGTGAATGCGAATGCGAATGGGAGTTGGGAAGAAGAGAGGAGAAGAATTCCAGTTGGTTAGGTTGGAACATATTTATTTTATTTTCACTTTACTTTAAGGATGCAGACTTCCGATCCGAATACCTACCATGTGTCTGTTTGCTTTGGGGGAATCTCTGTAACTGTTTTAAGTGGAGCAGCAGACAAACAGCCAGCAGGGCGCACTTCCAAGAACTGCTCGCGTGGGAGGGGGCGTGGAAAGGGGAGGCAAGTTCCCCCATTCGGCGGCTGGTGGCTCTCATTTTAGTCGATAACATATTAACGACATCAACTCAATCATAATCAGGAATGGAGTATCACAAGCAGTACAGCAAAAGTTACAGCCGAACATTTCTGCTTAGTCACACGCATCATCTGTCAGTCTGCCACGCCCCCAGCTCCATATCCCCATGTGAGAAGTGACAAATGGAGCATTCGACATTGTCTTCACAACCGGGGAACGATGATGAGATGAGCAGAAGATGGCGGGGAGGGTGGAAAACTTTTCAATTACTTGCCACGAGCTGATGCAAGGAGGAGGAGCAAGCCGTGTGGCTGGGACTGGGGCTGGGGCTGGGGTTGCGGAAGCCCTACCATGAGTTGGATCTCTAATGAACAATAATCTTTTCTGCTGCCATTACTTCTGCTCCCTTTTCCTTTCCCTGCTAATATTTATCGATGTGTATTATTTTCTCTGTTTCCGCTGACTTCCTCTCCCATCCCCATACCCATCCCCATTCCCCACCCCAATGGGCCTAGATTGAAAAGGCTTCCGCACCGAGACGCCCCGAGGCTCCTCGACGGCTCGCTTCAATTATAAAATGGCTTTCGCTTCTAATTGAATCGCGGGCTTGCGTCGGGGGCAGAGTTAATATTTTATTTCCAGCGATTGAACGGCCCCCTTTCCCCTTGCCATAATTTCTGACGGGCTTGTGGCCCTGTGTTTGCTTAGCGTTTCCCCAGCTCCAACCCCTCAGTCCGCAATCCACTTTCCGGCCCAATCCCAGCCCCATTCTTTGTTGCTTGTTCGGAGCCAACAGCCGCGGGGCACTCTCGAGTAGCAACACAGATGGAGATGGGGATGGGAAGAGGGTGCCTGCCTCCTTGTAACGATAAACAACCTTCGGCGGGACTAGGACATCCATCTCCTTGACTATTAAAACTCCGATGAAATCTATTTGGGCAATTGAAGCGGAAGCGAAAACAAAAACAAATTTCGCACACGAGTAGGAAACTCGAGAGGCCGCCATCCAGAAAGCTGAAACTCCAATAATCGGATAGTTTTTACGCCCCTGAGCATAATATCGAATTGCACATCTATTGGTGGTCTATGGCTCTCGGTTTGGGGGGGCCTGTCTCATTAAATTTAAATGCATTTCCCGTGGCTATTCGGTGTTCGGTTTTATTTGGACAACAAACAAAGCCGGGACCCCGGTACGGACTTCATTAAACTGGCGTAAACATTCGAAAATGAACTGAAATTGGAATACGCCGTGCTCCGTGCTCCGTGCGCCGCACGACAAATGGCTGCCCATAAATTTTGATAACTGATTAAAAGAAAGGAGCGACAGTTGGCTCTGTTTACCTGACATTACATCGCCATTCGCATTCGTATTCGCATTCGAATTGTTGTATATTTAATGCGCAAATGTTGGCGAATGTTGTGCCATCGATTGGGGACAGCAGACAGGCCTCCTGCATCCTGAGCCTAATGTCCGAATTGTTCGTTGGCCTGGCTAATTTGTACAGCAATTAATTTACATTAGGGGGATTGGCCGTTATAGCTGTGAACAGGGTGGGGAGGGGGCTGGCTACAATTTGTTTCATTTTTCGTTTTGTCGCTGCGCCTCGACGAGCAAACGATTCTGGCCTGCCATTCCCCCCTACCCTGTGGCAATTATATATACATATACGAGTGCTCGTATACATGCCCCAAAATGCCCTCGGCCCATAATGAGTGGCCGGAGGGAGGCCGCCGCACGGTTCGACATCGACTACATGGCCGCCATGGCCGTGCAATTAAATTCGCAATTTGTGCAATTTCGTACGATGACAGTTTCCACTTAATTTGGAGCTGGAGCGCCTCTAATTGTTGCCATAAACTTGCCAAATAATTGATATTTGAATCCATTTGAATCCATGCTCTGTGCACCTGAGTAGAGGTCCTGCCGATGTCATCATGTGGCCTTAACTGAGGGCTATACCTCCTCAATATCTCAGCCGATCTGCTAGGATATCCCATAGCTCCCCTCTCTATACATCCTCGCAAACACACGAATATTTCTTTGTATACCCAGGCAGTGCTGGGTAACCAACCAAATTAACCAAAACTGGTAGTTTCCAGCCCACTGTGGTGACCGCTGCCGAATGGCTTCTGTTTCACATGGAAACCAGCTGAGTTTACACCAGAAACCCAAGGACTGACCGCACCATCCGTTCCCCTACGGAGCTTCCCTCCAGCTTTTACGGACGCTTGTTCGTATGCAAGAGATTCCCTAGCAAATAACCTCATAATGACCATCTCACATATCCAGTGCTGATCCAGGTCTGGGTCCTGGGCACGAAGGCAACCTCCCAACAGCCGGGCAACCGGGCAAACGGGCAACCGGGCAGACCCATTCAACATGAAATACAACCTCAATTACGTTTTACGAGTTTAACTCAACACCGTGCGGTCCTCTGATGGGAATTTTCAATATTATGTGGCGTAAATTTATTGTGCAAAGTGACAGAAAAGGAGCTAAGCGACGACACCCAGGACTTTTATCTGCCAAGTGCCATAAAAGTATCTCAACGACAGCGGGCCATTTTAAAGCCCGGCCAACGACAACGACAACGGCAAAGGCAGCGGCAACGGCAATCCCCAGCCCAGACAATGGGCAATAATCATTGATTTATGGCTGTCATTTTGGTTATTAAAATGATATTTTCAAAAGCAAACGAGAAATCTGACTTGGTAGGGACTTGGAATCCAGGGACTTGAAAAGCAGGGACTTGGAGCTGACATCTGAGCCTGCTATCTGGGTCAGACCAAAGCGGCAAGCCCACTCCAGGTCTTCGAGCTTTATGCCCCTAATTGAAACATCAAGCAGAGTGTCCCACAATTGAGCGCTAAAAGCGTGCCTAATCTATGCATATTTTGGCCAAAGACCCCCTAATCAGGGCCGGGGCAAGCGGCATAAACTGGAGCAACGGGCCGTGGCATGGGTGGGGTGGGGGGCATGAAAGACGAGTAAAGTTTTCTTTGGGGTCGACATTTAGTTTCACTTTCTTGTTGTTGTTGGGTCCGGGAGCACTTAGGCATTCAATCAACGTGGACGTTAGCCTGTCGTGTCGTGTCGAGGCGTTGGCGTGCAAGGATTTGGGGATGGGATGCGGTAGGGTGGGTGGGCGGTGCTAAGTGTCGGGTCTGCCCCATTCAGAGCTGGCCAAGCGCAACGAAAGATTTGCATTTTCCTCTGTATTCTTGGGGGCTTTTCTTTTTTTTGGGTTGCTCATTTTCAATGGAACGGCAGCTGAGGCTGAGGCTCTGCGGACTTCGTTTCCGCCTCCCTCCACTTGAAGGTTGCATTACCGTTTTTATTGCCTACTTTTCAGCACTCCGGCCGGGACAGGGTCTGGCTGTGTTAGGGAAAGCTTTTAATCTCGCACATTGCAATTAGTGTCAGACGCTATGTCCACTCTCCACACACACACGTCGACATACACACACAAACACACACACTCACTTCCCATTTGGTAAAGTTCTCTCAGTCACGCAGGGCGATACCACAACACAAAAAACAGAGAAAAGAAGAGAAGCACTCGTAAAACGTGGGGGGGATATGAAATTATTTATTTAGTTCCAGTTGAAAGTCTGAAATGGGTGCGATTGGGCGATTGACTGTGACGGGTTTGAGCGGGTGTTGAAGCCGTCCGAGGGCGAGCAAAAACACATTAAATGCTTACTTATCAGAACGCAATCAGCTTTCCGGCTGTCAGCACTCGAATGATGTGGGCTTATCCCCAGACTTAATCCTTTTACGAGGCGATTGGACACAGACACTCGACATTCGACATTCGACACTCGACACTCGCGCACCAACACCAACACCTTGTCCGACCTCTGGCCTGGCTCTGGTCTCTGATTGAGTGTGATTTGTGCACTTTCCGCCTGAGCCCTGCTTAGCACGCATTCAATATTTCGATTCACTGCGTTGCACCTTGAGCGCTCAACGCCCCAATAGGGTGGGGGCGTGACCACAGAATAACCGCAAAATGAATAACGCGGATGCGATAAACTTCGACAACGACAACGACAACGACAACGACAAACGATGATGTCGACGGCTGGGCTTTTCTTTATTAATGATTTGGTTTGCGGTTTGCGGGTCGCGGGTCGCAGCTCTCGCGGGAACAGCTTGTTGTTTGTCAACGAGGACTGGACGGAGAGTAGTAGTGGTTTTCCCGTTTCCACACACCCACACGACGGCGACGACTTCGACTTCGACTACGACGACGACGACTTCGACTATGACGACTACGAGTTCCGTTCGATTGTTCCGGTGCTCGAGGTCCTCGGTGACCGTGTATTCGAAAAAGTGGCGAGCGACTGAATCAGGAGCATGTCTGAATCCTGCCGAGCACTCGAATCGACTGCACTCGCTCCGAAGCTGCCACGAAGTCCGGCTCGGCTCTGCTGTGGGCACATGCGCAGAGCTCCGTTTGGGGCAGGGCCGGGGGGTGGCAGGGTAGGGCTTTGCCGGCAGTAAGTACCGGGGCCTAGGGGCCTGACGGGGGGAAGGGTTTTAGGGCAGGAGAAAGGACAATTGTTTGTTTTGTTGCTGCTGCCCCGACTGCCACATGCAACTGTTGCGCATTTTTTTTGCAAATGGCCAGCGATAAATGTGGTTGTTGTCGTTCTTGTTTATGATTGCACTCGAGGTTGTGTCGAGTTCCGTTAATGTCGTTTCGGGTTCGTTTTGGGAACTCTTCAGGGAACTAGTTCGTAAGTTCGTAAGTTCGTAAGTTCGCCAGTTTGCACAGAAGAAACTCTAACAATCTAATGGAGTAGAGTATTCCGGTATGTCCCTCCCAAGCAGAGTTTCCTGAGGTTCTGTGTGAACTAGTTCCGGTACGAAGCAGCCCTGTCAAGCGATGGAAGAGCAGAGTGGAGGAAAACTGCCCTCGAGAGTGATTTCGGATGCATTTGGGGCATGTTGGGTGGCATGTCCGGGAGAAGTGTTAACCCTCGAGTGCGTTTTTGAGGGAAAAAACAATGCAGTGAGATTGCCAGAGAGAGCGAGAATGTTGCCGCACACACACACACACTGGCAAAAGTGTATCTAATTGCTCGAGTACATGTATTAGGATCTATGTCCTCTTTTCTCGTCTGTGTGTGTGGGCAGAGCTGATGCATGGCTCTGACAAGTAGCCCCATTTCGTAGCAAATTCAATTTGTCACTCAAAAGCCGTCGAAACGAAGCAATTTCCTGGCAAAAAGCCTGGCCGAGGAAACAATCTCCCAACTAATTAAATAAAACGAGCTCCGAACTAAGCAAATTGGGAAACTTGTCGCAGTAATTACATCAAAATATCTCAAAAAAAAAAAAAAATACAAATACAAGAGGAGGAGAAGAACAGGCGCCAGGCACGGGGCAACCAAAGAGCGAACTCTGCACAAAACTCCAGGCGCAAAAAAAAGGGCAGAAACAGAAAGAGAAGTATTTCTCGTACTCGTGTATATATGAGCTCTGTCAGCTTGATTCATTCGCAACGAAAGTTTGGGCAGTTGCCGGAGATGGCTACGGGGATGCGACAGGTCCTGCCCCGCTGACAGATGGCCGAGAGGGGCCGACATTTTTACGACACAAAGCTTAATTTGCTGGAAGAACGAATGTCAATTAAAATTTTTTAATGAAATAACTTTCGTTGATTTGTCCCAGTTCCAGTCCCCGCTCCCGTGCCCCGACCGGGTCTGGACGGGACATGGGCGGACAGCTACAGGAATTCAATTAAATAAGGTTGATTAGTTCGCCATTAGATCGGAGGGGCATGCCTCATTACCGAAGCGAGAGGCAGCCCGCCAGTAGGCTAACGGAAAGACCCCAACTTTCCTCAGATCTCCCACTTGGCCGCTACATCGAACCCGGGGACACTTTCGGACTTTTAATTAAGGCCAAGAGCCCGAACAGTCGCGACGGGCAATCGAGCAGGAAACAGGAAGCAGAGAGGAAGAGGGAGGAATAGGAGATCGAAAAGAAAACCAATTACAAATCATAACAAGGCCTTTCGAAATAATTGAAATTTTCATGGCTAACAAGGCAGCAGGCCCCGTGTCAACCCCTTTTCAATCCTCCAATCTGGACATTCCGCTGCGAGCTGTTGGCACGTGGGGCACGTGACTCAAACGGAGGCCATTAAGTTGCCATCAGGCTAACTGCCACAGATAGGGCCTTGATTTCTCAGGGGGTATGGTGTGCCCTCTCCCCTCCACCAACAGCCACCGATAAGAGAACAGACCACTAATCCCGCCGTGCAACCGAGCCCTTATCAGCGATGCAAACACATCTCCATTCCCATTCCCATTCCACGCTCTTGTAATGAATGGAAAATGGGAGAAAAAGCTGGAGAAAATGAAAAAAGGGAAGCTCTTGAGAGGTTAAGCCAGACAACCCCCAACAAATGCAACAAATGGCAGTGCTAAACCGGATAACGGACACAATAAGCAGCCACAGTAGTCCATGGAAGTGGAAGAGCACTAAATAGTTGCAGAAGTTGCAGGAGCTGCAGGAATTGCTGGCACAGAGTGCCAAAGTTCACACCAACCCCATCAGAGAGCAGGCGGAAGGGCGGGTTGCGGATAAGGATAATAATGCGAGAGTAAAAACAAATATGCGGGACTCGATCTGTGGCAGAGACTTAGCCGAGGCCGAGGATGTGTGCGAGGGGCAGCCACGCGAGCTACAACAAATAGAAAATGGAATCAAATCGCAATAAAACGAAACGAAACAAAAATGCAGGGAAAGAAAAGGAGGGCGTGGAATGGGAGGAAACTAAACGGAATCCCCCTAATATGGCATGTAAACAGAATGGGCACGTGACCTGGAAGGGAGCAGCACCCGACCTGGCAGGGCAGAAGGAGGATGGAGGATGGAGGCGGAGCCTGGACAGCGGGATAAGCAACAAAAGCTGCCGAGCGGCCAACAAATTGCCGCATGAAAGTAATCCTGACAGGCTGCAGATTGTTGCGCCATCATAAAACCCCGTCGGAGGTGGACACGGAGACGTCCACGGACATTGAGACGGCGCCAGGATCCGAAAAGCGAAGCACTTTGCGAGTTGGCAGACATTGTAGTACTGCCTGCTGAGAGGAGGGTTGAGTGGGGCAAAAGAGTTGCGCATTTTTCACACCAGAACTGACCACACTGCCCCCCCATTGCCATTGCCATTGCCACATCCTCGGATCCGCGTGCATCTGCAGTCCTCGAGTCCTGGCTGTCAAATCAAACATCTCCGGAGCAATATCAAACGAGAAGGCGAGGAAAAGACGACTGGCCAGCGGAGGAGCATGGACGTTCTTCGGGGAGCCATTTTCTGCCACATTTGGCGACTTCCTTCTTTGATGCCACTCTCAATGTCGGGTTTCTTCCTTTATTCCATTTCCCGTTTAAATACTTTTCGGCTTGATGGCTCCGGGTTGAAGGCTCTCCTCGTCCGGGCAACTGCCATTCCTCCGCGATTGCCTCACGTATTTCCAACTGTTAATTAGCTCGATAAATGTGAAAATAATGAGCGAGTACGGCGCGCAAGTTATTTGGGAAACAGCTTTCGAGTGGGCCAATGACTCTTAGCCCGGCAAAATGTTATTTCATGTCAGACAATTTGTTGGGAGCTTGGCCCTTCTCCGGCGTCCAATCAGGACTTTATGGCCAGAAGTTATGAAGTCCGAAAGATAATAATGCGCCAACACTTTATGCTTTCTGCTTGGCACTAACTCAAATCCGCCAACAGCCGCCAGCCGCCAGCCACCAGCCACCAGCCACCTCGACCAGCAGCAACAAGGCCAAGTTTGTGCGAGTAGTTTACGGGGCGAAAGGGGAAATAATAAAGTTAAGTGCACTGCAAGAAAACGCTGCCAACTTCCGCCGCTCCGTTCCAGTGCAATCAGTCACGACAATCACATTTTATGATATTATTATTGCCGAGCCAAACTAGAATCAAAGTCGCAGCCAACTTTCAGTGCCCCCGAAAGTCAGCCAAGGAAATTGCCTGCCGCCTCGCCCCCCATGCAAAGCGGGAAAAGCGCCTCGGGGGCGTCGGAAGTGACGGGAAACTTTCATGGCCAGACCAGACCAGGCCCAGACTCGAGGAGAGGCCAGCACTGGACGCAGTCAACTGTCAGCCAGGAGTTGGGAGGCGGCCAAGGAGGAGACACAGAACACAGCCGCAACATGGAAGATCTCTGCATGGGACGAAAGAAAGGAGAGGGCGAACTTCTTTGCTGAAGCCTTTTATGGGTCTCCCCAGCTGGATGTGCCTCCACTCCGATTTGGGGCACGGGACTGATGCAGGGGACCCCGAGTGGCGGAGCTGTACTAAAGTAAATGAAGCGTGACGCTTTGTTTTCCTTTGATTTAGTTTTATGAGTCTGCATCGGATGTAATTGAATTATGCAAGTTGGCGCCGCCGCCCGACGGCAGACGACAGACGACTTTATTAGCATTCGATCGTAAAGAGTGGGGGAGCCGGGGGATAGATCCCCATCTATCCCCCGGCTGGGAGATACAGGGATGATGACACGGATGATGTGTCTGTGCATGCCAGGAGGCAGGAGGCAGGATACGGGTGGATTCAGACATGGTTACGCTTTTTAGCAGTGATATTTGAATTTCAGATGATTCGCGCGCCACTCGCTATGAAATGAGTTGGAAAATATGTGGATGTGGAGACAGGACGCAGGAAACTCGCAGGATAACAGCGCAGTCAGAGGCTGAGGCACTGCCACAAGCCGTGGCACTGATAAGCAACTCAATGAATCCGCAATTCGATGGCAACAGAATGGAGTCTACATAGGAATCGGAATCCATAATGAAATGACACTGTGGAGTGGAACAAAGGGATGCCCAGCCTAATTGACACCAATGGATGATATGCAGGATGGCAGAGGAAGGACGCTGAAATCGGAATCCGATGAATGGGGGAGCAGTCCAACATGGGGTTGCTCTCGATTCGTCAGCTGTCTCGAAGCATTTGCAGGATCAGTTACAATATTCTGCGCCACTCCCATCCAATAATTAATATGTGGGTCGCCATGGTGCCAGGATAACTCAGGTGGAAGCCAGTCGGGGAGGGGGGAGCGGGGGTGGATTAATACGCGGGAGGTACAAGAGGGTTTATCTGTCCAACGAGTGTGCAGCTGAAGAGAATCGTCCTCTTCTGGAGGAGTGCTCGCAGCCAGGAGCAGCTGTCTTGTCTGAGACAGACAGCCCCCTCCTGGGGCTTCCCATTACTGATTCCCATGAACTGTCAAACCG